AAACTTTATGTCAAAATACAATTTCAGAGTGAGAAAGCCAGAGGCTACTTCAGTTGGTCGTTTAATGGCTTTTAATAAAGTTTATAAAGATAAAAAATATTTATGTTATTCTTATTAAAGAACTAAGAAGTTGTTTTATTATTAATTTTTTACTAGTTGGGTAAATTCAAGACTTAAAATAAACCTATTTAGATACATAAGTTTTGAAAAATATATTTTAAATTGGTATTATTTTACCAGGTACCTACCTATTATTAACAAGGTTTGTTAAATTTTTATGTTATTCTTATTAAAGAAGTTGTTTTATTAATAATTTTATACTAGTCAGGTATATTCAAGACTGTTAAAATATTTTTAGCTATACTTATAAGTTTTTTAAAATACCTATATTAATAGGTATATATTTTTAATTGGTATTATGTAATAGGTACCTATTATTAACAAGGTTTGTTAAATTGTAATGTTGTTCTCATTAAAGAAGTTGTTTTATTAATATAAGTTGTTTAAATATTATTATATATAATATTAAAAGTTGTTGGGTTTATTTATATGTGTATGTCATCTTACCCCAGGGAAATGTCAACTTACCCCAGCACATGGGTAAGATGACGAATTTTGGTTTTTCTTTTTTATTTAAATAAAATTGGCTTAAAGACAAATGTTGACACTGATATTTTTTACAACTGTTCCACAAGTTAAATTTTAAGTTGGTGTAGAATTTGGACTTGTATCATAAAAATTAGCCATTTGAGAGTACATCAAAGATCAAACCTATGATTCGTCAACTTGCCCTGGTCTCCCCTATCTATGATAGTATCGCGGTTTGTTGTTGATGTGTAACGCATTATAAGTACCTAATGGATATTGTGATATAATTAATTTGGAATTTATTATAGGTACCTATCTATTATAGGTAAATTTTTTCCAATACCTATTATAGATAAATATATAATATGTCTTATACCTAGACTGACATATACTGTCTCCGCTCAGAATCGTTTTTCTTATGATATTATATCATAGAATTCAAATTTAATACCATCCATTCATTATACAGTCGCCCCATTGTAACCTACAGTACAGCAGAGCGACATCCACTTACCCACCTTTTTATTTTATTTTATTATTATTTATTGTTTTTATAGTAAGTTTTATATGCTGCAAATCCTATTATAATTTAGTATTTTACATTTTTAACAAACAAATGTTTTGGTATGATGTAAACTATTTAATTGGTTTTTATATTATTTTATTATATTATTGAGCATTATTTATTCATTATTATAAATTAACGTGTCAACAAGCTAGTAGAAAATTAATTTTTACAGCATATGTGTGTAAATCCTAGTGTTTTAACAGGAAATAAACATTTACTTCAAAGCAACAAAGACAAATAAAGAGGAAAATGATGTACAGGTTGCCATACTCTTAAATTTAATGGGAACTGATGCTTTAAAAATCTATAATACGCTAGGTATTAAAAAAGAGGAAATAGTAGAAGCAATAATATTAAAAATATATTAATAAGCCAACAATTATATCATTGAATTCAAGTTTAATACAATTCTTTATACATTGACCCACTTGTAACCTACTGAACAGCAGAGCGACATCCACTTACCGACTTTATTATAAATTGTTTTTGCGTGAAAACATTTACGTTAATTTGTCCCTGACAGACACGTTCATATGCACAATATATTATGACTATAAGTCAAAATATTTGCTATAATAAAGGAAATAATGTATACGGTAATTAAAAAAAATATTTCATATCACAGAATTGACTTAATTAAGTAGGTATGTCCGATATGTGACACAATGTAACTTTAAATTGGAATTATGAATTTTCAAGTAAATACATTCCACGATATTCTAAAAACAAACTAGGTACATTTATTAATGCTATGTTTAATTATTATAAATAGCTTTATTTATATATTTTATGCAAAAAATTCCTCGATTTCTAATAGTGTTTTATTTTCCGTTTCTGGTAAATAAAAGTATAAGTAGAGTGATCCAAAAATGCCCAAACAACCAAAGAGAACCATAGTGTATTCCAAGGTCAATAGAATCTCTATTTCTATGTATGATTTTGTTAATATGAATATTAATAAATAAGACAATCCTGCAGATGAGCCAGTCGAAATACCTCGGACTCTGAAAAAAAAATCATAACCAACTGCAATTAGATTAAATTATTAAAAGGATGGAATATACCTTATTCGTAATTTATATATCAATTATAAAAAAGGTGGGCAAGTGGGTGTCGCTCTGCTGTACAGTAGGTTACAAGTGGGTCACTGTATAATGGATGGTATTAAATTTGAATTCAATGATATAATATCATTGTATAAGAAAAACGATTCTGAGCGGTGATGGTATGTCAGTCTATGTATAAGGCATATTATATACATATCTATGGTATTAAACAAAAAATTGACCTATAATAGGTACCTATAATAAATTCCAAATTAATCATATCACAATATCCATTAGATACTTATAACGCGTTATACATCAACAAAAACCGTGATACTATCATAGATATATAATAGTACACTTTAGAAGTTTCAAGTACCCACGAATAGTATTATTCAATCACAACAAAATAACTAAAATCGTAATTCTTGGTTTAAATATGAAATTTTGTCTAAATTTGAAATTAAAATGTCTGTAAAAAATAAGTGTGTTTATATATTTTTTAGATTTTTTGGTTACAGTATGAATTATTTAAGAGAATCTTTGTTTTAAATTTTCAACTCTTAGTTATAAAAACTGAACATTTTATAATTTTTTAATTCCAACGATTGATAATTTTCGAGATTTTGATAAATTTTGTCAAAATTCCAACTTTAAATGCTTATAAAAAAAAATCGTGCCTATGTATTTTAATATTTTTCAACTGATATTGTAACAATATATCAGGAGCCTTGTATTAAATTTTTATACTTTTTGGCCCAACAGATAAAACTTTATTGATATTTATAGAAAAAAAAACTAAAAAAAATTGAAAGCTGTAAATGTCCATAAACAGCTCAAAAGAGTCAAAATATTTTCAAAATTGTATGGTGTGTAGGAAATGCTAATATAAACATTCAGTGAAATTTTCATGTATCTACAGTTATTCGTTTTTGAATTACAACAAAATAAGGAAATCGCTACATGAGAAATCGAGTGAAAATCCAATGTTGTAAAAATTTGAATTTCAAACGCTCATAAAAATTTAATTTGACTGTCCGGTAGAGATTTTTTTATTTATAAAGGTAGATAATCTTATAAGGAATCTTGTGTTTCATTTTCAAATCTCAGATTTAAAAAGAAAAATTTTTACGAATTCTTAACTCAAAATAATTTGCTAATTTTCGTGATTTTTCCATATTTTGTCAATTTTTGAACTTTAAATGCTTATAAAAAAAAATTGTGACTAAGGATTTTTAATATTTTTCATCTGCCTTTGAAACAACATATTAGGAGCCTTCTATTAAATTTTCAAGCTTTCGCAACCAATAAATAAAATTTTATTGATATTTCTAGAAAAAAACTAAAATAAAATGAAAAATGAAAATGTCCCTAAACAGTTCAAAATAAATCAAAATATTTTGAAAATGTTATCGTGTATAGAAAATGCAAATATAAACAACCAGTGAAAATTTCATGTATCTACGGTCATTTGTTTTAAAGTTACACCAATAACCAAATTCGATTTTTTGGAAAATCGATTTTGCGTAAAAATTCCCGTTTTTCCTTAATTTTTATGTTGTTTTTTCCCGGCGCTTGTGAAAACTACTGGAAAATGTTTACTTTTGACCCCCCCAAAGTACCAACTAGATTCACTTTCCTATCAGAAAAGGTACTATTGAAGAAAATCGAAGCACTTTTACTGTCCCAAAACGTGATGACAGACACAAAAAAAAATATAAAAATATAAAAATATAAAAACATACATCATTGTAAAACAAATACATTCATCGCTCCGCTCAGAATCTAAAATATAAAAACATACATCATTGTAAAACCAATACATTCATCGCTCCGCTCAGAATCTAAAATAAGCAATATTACCTAAAATTAGGTACCTACATAGATATTATACTTCGGTGAGTATAGAATATTGTACTTACTATCTCTAATTATCATAATCATTCCCAAAAATGTACTATGTTGTAATCTACTTTTAGTAAATTTTAGTACTACACTATTACATAATAATAATTTATAATTAATGGGTAGGTAACACAGCTGTGTTAAAATATTATAATAATATATTATGTATATATAATATTATATCGGCTTTCAATTCTCTAATGCTCGAATATTCATCAAATTACTTGACCAGCCAAGTATACCATTCCCACTTGAGAATTATTTAACGAATAATTTATTTATAGTAATTTATTTTACGAACACATAACGTATATCGTTGTTTCGTGTCACCGATAATCCATCTGAAGGAGGTAGCGAAGAAAAAATAGCAAATATCAAATATTCGTACAAGTACTCTGTTCCTTCTAACTACCTATAGGTGCATAATATGTTGACTATAAACAAATATAGCAAATATTTGTCAAAAACAGTGGAGTAGTATTTGGGTCTATATGCTACAAAAGTACAAACATACGGACAGTAATACATTTTTATCTTGAATCAAAAATTAATTGATGGATATCACAATTTTAAGTCCTAACATATATTTTTATGTACACCATTAATAAACCACTATAAATTCTTAAATAAAAAAAAGAAAAATAATTGTATTAATATAGACATTTTTGCCCCTATAAAGTTTAATACTACATACACTAGGTTCCTATATAAGAATAGTATAAATTATATTTGGTGGGGAATAAAAATCCCATACATTCTCTCCACCATAAATACTATACCGACTCTCAGTATAGCTTGTTGATTTTATTTAAACATATTCGTCTACTGACTTATTGTTATATTTCTAAGAATAGTAAATTATTGTGTAAGAAAATGTATAATTTTAATGAGCTTTACTTGTTTGGAAAAACTTCACTAAGTAACATCCATGGCAAAATAATGACTGAAGCTCCAAAAAAGTTGATGCCACATAATATAGTTATAGGAATCCAAGGAGTTGAGTAGATATAGCCATTCTTAATTGCTACAATGTAGATGCCGAGTAGAAACATCAATAATGTGTTGATAAAAAATGTCAAATTAGTCAAAAACCTTTTAACCAGATAATAACCAGATAATGGACGGTCAATACTACTATCAAGGATCCAATAGTTTGTAGAACAGCAAAAACTACCTGGAAATATTTCAATAAAAATATTTATTATTTTACCTATAAAATTGTTTATATTTCCCTAGTACCTATATTTACCAAGAACAAACTTTGATTATTCGATATACCAACTTCTGTCACGATTTTACTGGTATACGGTCTCCAAGGTACACTGCTAACGATATCGGAAATCAGGAAATAAAACATAATAAATATAAAAGGTCTGTACACCGAAGGCTCCTTAAGCTCGGCTAATTTTGATGATAAATTAATACGATTAACATCGGCCGTTCTTCAATGAGTTCCTAATATACCTAACCGGATGAGTTCAAGGAGTTCGGTTTTGACAATTTCGGGTTCTACCCATCCTATTAACCAACACAAGGAATTTTCGGCTTTTTCGTTTTTCGCTTTGGAAACCAGCCACACTGGAGACTCTGGAATCTATAAGCAATACAGGCGCATGTGTACCATTACAATTAACTTATAAGTATAACAAACATATAGGTAGGTACCAAAATCACAAGGCATATTCACGTGATCGGACAAAGTGTACTCAGCAATGCGACGGTTCTACATTCGAATAAATATCCCAAAAAGTAAGTCAACAACACTCCAAACATAGACGAGGTACACGCCAATAAAGCCATCGATCCCCTGAGTCTCGGTTCGGTTATTTCGCCGATGTACGACAATATCGGGGCTTCGCTGAATCCTATGCCCAAACCCATCAGCACGGTGGACGAGTAAAGTGAAACTGTGGAGTGTGTGTAGTACAGCAATATCCATCCGAAAATACTGGGGACGTTGGCGAGAATCATGCACCGTTTCCTTCCATATCTTTCTTGTAGGCATCCCGATAGAAAACTTCCGGTCGGATGAAATATAAACAATATACTCCCTGTATAATAGTAAAAAATATAAATGTATAATTGAGCGTACCTATTTGATGCGGCAGAGTGTGGGTGATTTGAACTGGTGCGTGAACAGTAGCTTGTATAATATTATATTGATAGGTACTTACAATAATATTATTATACTCCACAATTTATCACAAAAACGACGCATATAAGCCGAGTACAATTTCGTGAAACGTATTGTAGTGCAGTGTTCTGATTTTCAATTTGATGAACTCACTAAATAGCGAACCTCTAGTTTTTTAATAATTTTAACCTTTTTTTTGTTACCTAAGATAGTTCATGTTCTGAAATCTCAATGAACTAATAACTACATAAATTAGAATCAAATACATGTTAGTTGTTCAAATAGTTAATGTTAATGAGAATTCACTGTCCGAATTTCGATATAAATGTTGAATAACAATTGTGGGCATTCCTATTTCCATGCCCAATTCAATTAATAGAAATTTCTGCGCTGTTGTAGCGAAAATCTGCGTTATTTAATTGCAGTTGTTTTGGTTTGTTTTATATTTTAAAAAAGGTTTGTATACATATATTATAATCTGATACCAACTTGTGCCACCGTAGCCTTTGGGCCGTAGGTTTTGGGAGTATTGTCCATGTTATTTTAATTTTTATTAGACATTGACGACTTGCCTGAGTAGAACTACAAATTACAATAATTTAAAAAAAATTTAGCTAGGTTATCTAGCCTATAGGTGTATACGCGTACGTCTAAGTTTTAGAGTAAAATCAACCGTCGATAATTACTATAAAATGTCGGTTTTTCCAGTCAGACAGTATCGCGGACACATGTAATTTTTTTTTTTTTTATTAAATAAAATTAATTTATTATAAATTATATAGAGCTCAAAAGAACAAGTTTATAAGAATTTAATAATATGAATCTATCTACCAGCTGTAAGCAAGCTTGTAATGATGGTAGAGAGCTACAAAATCTAGTAATTAATATAATAATCGATGAATGCAGCTTATAGGCACTCGTACTTTCCCTTATTTTTTAATGTCATTATGAAATCTAACATTTCCTGTTTGTGACGCTTTGAGACTTGTTTTTAGTATATATTTTAAATAATAACTGTTCGAAACATATCATAAAATAAGCATAACACCTGTTTCGAGGAAATATCTAGCCTGAAATGGAAATAAAATATGGAATAAACGAGAAAGTAACGAAATTCTTAAATTAAATAATATTATAATAAATTGTTCGCAATTTGAATAATACGAAGACGATTCACAGCGAAAAATTTTCATCTAAATCTACAACTAAATTATCATAAATTATCATATATTTTCTTTGTCTGGCACTTCACAAAGTTAGAAAAGTGTGAAATTTCTTCCTAGAAACCCACATAATCTCTAAATCCAAATTATTTTAAACTAAGATCACTTTTATATATGTAAAAAATCTCTGCAATTATTTATTGCAACTATTAGTACCACACGATTCATGATGACAAAGATGTGCATAAATTTCCTCACCACCGTTTGCTTGTTAAACGTAAGACATTACATCGTCCATGTTGTTTAAACGCAAGAGGTATTATACGTGGCGCGTTTTTTTTATTGTGGTGTCCCCGGTAGGCATAGTCCACATTTTAAGAAAGTCTTTTACAGTAAGTTGTATGAGCGACATTAATGATTTTATAATAAATAGCTTGTCTGTGAAATATTAAGCACCTAATGGGAATATCTAGCCTCTAATGGAAAATGTATGAATTATCACGCGAATCACACGTTGTCAATGAACCACACTTCTTTAGCGCACCTAGCGTCGTCATTGAACCACACGTCGTGAAGGCACCATACGTCGTCAGCGAACCGAACGTCCTGAGCGCAACGGCACGTCGTCAGCGATCCGCACGTCGTCAGCGAACCGCCAGTTACGCAGCGAACCGCATGTCGTCAGCGAACCGCACGAAGTCGGCTGCAGCGCACCGTGTGTCCAATCCCGGATTATGGGAGGGGGTCAAGGGGGGCACGGTCTCAGGGCCCATTGGTTTTGGGGGCCCATCTTTTCCCCAATATATATTTCAAATACAGTTTTCAAAAAAAAAAAAAAAATTATTGAAGTATATAAGTATAGTAGGTTAATTATTATTAATAATAAAATTATAAAATAAAATTGTTCTCCATTTTATACCACAAAAAATTACTATAAATAATGAATTATTATGTTTGCCAAAAATATGTTTTTTTTTTCGAGCATTTTAGATTACCGAATTAACTATTTAAGTATACAAAAAGGTAGTTATAAGAAAAATAATATTTAGCTCTTAATAAATTAGGTATTTCAGTTACAAGTATTAATGCATATTAAACTAAAATTTAAAGAACCATAGTCTAACCTAACCTAACGAACCAAAATTTATCATTTTACTGTCAAAATATTCAGAAAAAAGTTTTACCAGAATCCATCCAAAAATATAGTGGTTACCATTTGAAAAAATAAAGTCGATTTTATTATTGATACAACTGCGTGTTTATAAATTTTGAAAATTTTGTGAAAAAATTGCTTATTAAAAATAAAGAAACACGTCTTTTTTTGTTTTAAGGAAATTCCATATCATTGATTCATAATTGTTAAAAAAAACAACGTTTAATGACATATGATACACCCTGTATATTTGTTGTATAGTAAAAAATTATACAGTAATATAAATTCGTTAATATGTAATGATACAATTATTTTTAATTTAAAGTTGAAAGGGGGCCCACTAAGTGTATAGGTGTCCCGGGGCCCGATCTATCCTTAATCCGGGCTTGCATGCGTCGTTGGCAAACCACACGTTACGTCAGCGAACCGCACGTCGTCAGCGAACCACACGTCGTCAGCGCACCGCACGTCGTCAGCGAACCACACGTCGTCAGCGAACCGCCCGTTAACGCAGAGAACGGCACGTCGTCAGCGAACCGCACGTACGTCAACGACGTGCACGTCGTAACAAAGCACGCGTGCGTCAAAAAACTACACTTCGTTATCAGGACCGCTAGGATGCCATCGGCAAAATCCCAATATTCACATGGAAATTATCGAAGATTTTATGGGAAATGTATGCTTTTCTATGAAACATCAAACCACGAACGGAAAATACATAAATGAAATATTCGGGGAATGTAAAAACGGTTTTAGAAAACCTAGATCGACATTGGACAATATTGTTACACTGAGACAGATAATGGCTAATTTGTATAAATTTGATAAAGAACTGCAACTGAAAACTGAAATTTGATTAAGAATCTTTTTAGACTATAAAAAAGCTTATGACTGAATTGACAAACTATGAGAAGCACTGGAAGAACTAGGCATTCCTAACAAGTAAGTAAGTCTTATAAAAGGATGTAACAATATAAATGTATGCGTAGTTCGCCTCCTGCAGGAAATGTCTGAAACCTTTGAGGTAAAGTCAGGTCTTCTACAATGTTAATGCTTTATCATCCACTCTACTGAATCAACTATTAGAAAATTAAATGATAGAAGTATGGGATGGTCGAAAAATGGAAATATTATGTAGTGAACGAGTAATATTGGCGTAAGCAGATGACGAATTGAAGTCAAAAATACTTGTCCAGACTCTTAGCAAGTAAAATTATGGGGCTTAGTAATACAGGGCTACTTGTAAATGGGGAAAAGACGAAATTAATGGTAGCAAGAAGAAGCTCAAACATTAATACTTTAACAGTAAATGATTAAAATTTCAAGAAAGTGGAAGTATTTAAGTAATTAACCATTATAATAAATAGAACAAGGACAGGTACGAATAAATCAACTATCAAATAACATGCGGCTATCGGTGCTACTATAGCAAAATTAAACTTTTTAAATCAAAACTACTTTCACAGAGTCACATAACTCAAATACACTATTTTATCATAGCCATTTACGACCAATAATCACATATACGATCGAAACATGATCACTGACCAAAGGAGACAGCCAACGGCGAATGACCTTCGAAAGAAAGGTAGGTACTGAGAATTATATACGGTCCAAAGTTCAACGCAGAATTTCAAACTTATGAAAGCAGAAAAAAATCAAGAATAATACAAAGGCGATGAGCCGCGAACAGTATTTTTTTAATATGTCGCAGTATATGTTTAAGTATGGAAATTCTAGTCAATACTGATTTAAATATAAATAAATTTAAAATAAAGAAAAGAAAATGATGGAATTTCAGTAAAAATGCTCAAATTAAATATACATTCATTTATTAAACCATTATCACACATTTTCAATTTAGCTATAACAACATCTACTATTCCGGAATGCTTTAAAACTATTGAAAAAATTATTAAAAAAGAATTAGTCCATTACCTTGAAAGTAATAATCTTCTATCATGTACCCAATTCGGGTTTGGACCCGGTAAAAGTACCGAACAAGCAATTGCAAAGGTATCAAGCTATATTTATAATTCTTTCGAAAAAAAAAAAATGTGCAACTGTTTACTTGAATCTAGCAAAAGCATTTGATACTATAGAATATAGATCATAAAATATTACTACAAAATGTTAACACACTTGGTATCAATGGAACGGCTCAGAATTTATTAAGTTCATACTTAAAAAATAGAAAACAACACGTTCGAATAAACAATGAATTAGGTAGGTAGGTAGAGTTCAATCCGACATGAGTAAATTACAAAAATGGCTCAGTGAAAATAATTTATTCCTAAACTTAGAAAAAATCTTCATATAACATTATTACCACACTATATAGTTAATTCGAATCAACCAAATAAAACAAATCTATGTATACATGAGAATGACTGTTTAAATCAAGATATATGTGCATGCCAAACATTTGTAAAAATAGTTTTAAAAACTGTAAATACTTTGGTATAGAAAGGTGTCATAATCTTAAATGGAATGACCATATAAAATGTTTAACAAATAAATTAAGAAAACTTATGTATGCACTTAAAAAATTAAAAGATATTCTAGAACTTAAGACAATTAGAGTAGTGTATCAAGCATTAATAGAATCCATAATTAATTATAGTATTTCTATATGGGGAGTGAGTTACGTATGATGCAACTATGGATCCATTAAAAAAAAATCCAAAACAAGATACTAAAAATTATTCTAAAAGAAGACTCAAGATACCACTCAAAATATTTATATAATTACATGAATGTACTACCAATAAAAAAATATTTTATAAAGCATCGGTACTTTACATAACTAAAAATAACCTTACTTTTAAAATTGAACACGGACTCAAAACTAGGCAAATATCTAATATCAAAGTACTATAACTATGCTCAAAAAATTAACAATATACCATCAATAGAAATAAAACACGGCAACTATTTTATGATTCTTAAAATAAATAATTACACTTTGGCTATTACAAGAACAAAATATAGACAGACTCATAACAAACGTATATGATTACTGCATTATTTATCATAGGTATTAGT